ATGAGTGGTGGTTGAACAGCTGTTGAATGTCCGTAACACGGAAGTTTTGCACACTAAACTTCCTTTGACAAGATGTGCGGTACCTTTGGGCTACAGTAGTGACCACAAAGGCTTCCTCCCTTTGAATCAGGACTACATAGTCTGAGTCTATGTTGATGAGAGAAGGAGCACTTCCTCTCCGCAATGCCAGGAGCCTCTACATGTCCATACATTTCCACTTTTCTGAGCACTCAATTCTTCGCCGGAAGAGAAACATGCCCCTCCAGAAAGATCAACGGAATATGTCACACCTCAGAATCATCCATCCGTTCTCTCCCACATCTTCCACGCCCAGACTGACAGGTCCAGCCGTCCCATTCCACCGGGAACTCCTCGAGTTTGGTGCATTTGCCGCTGGCCGATAATGTGCTGCTGTTCGGGATGTCCTCCTTGCCAAAGCCCTGAGGCCGGCGGTTCTCCGCCAGGCAGAAGGGGTGGTTGCAAATCTCACGGAGCGCCTGGCTGGCCAGGTGGGGAGAGAGCGGAGAAGCAGGGGGGCTCTGATGTTGGTTTGGGAAGTGGGACCCGGGAAGAAAGTGACATGAAGAAACCAATCAAAGACTGCTGACTTGTTTGAACCCCCAGAAGAGGAGGGGATCGGCCCAGATGGTTGCCTCATTTGGCCCGAACTGCGCCCAACGTCGATCCTGTTGCCTCTGACAATTGTCAGCACATTCCCCAAAAGGCAGTGCTCCGCAGTCTGGAGAGGAACCAGGTAGTTAAGCCAAGGTGTGGTCCAGAGGTAGCCCCTAGAAAATCTCTATCTCTCTCCACCTCAGCACCTCACACGAAAGAAAAGCCAAACACAGACCGCCTGCAGCATCGAGAAGATGTGGTTGTGCCGAGCGAACTTGTCATCCCGCGATGGGAGCTGCTGGAAGGCCTCTTGCGCGGCCTTATAGAGCTTCTGCTGACTTTCGCTGAGTTCACACTCATGGTCCTTTGGCAGAGTGGTGGAGGGAGATTTAGCAGAAAGTCCTTCTCCTCCGAGGTATAAGAAAGAGGTGCCAGCCAACAATTTATTGGTGTCTGTCTGTATGATCCACATCTACCTTGCAGCCAGAGGCTAACACATCATGAAGATCACTCCAAGTGTATTTAGTAAGGCACCAAGCATAGGATTAGACAAAACTATCCATCCACCCACGCCCACCTTCATCCACTTCTTCATCCCAACCAACCCTGTTAACAGATCCATATCACCCCATCACCCCCCTCCCATAATACTCATATATACTCATCTATACTCATCTATACTCATCCACTCATCTACTCGGTCTCCTGCTCGAACCCCCTAATTTCACTCATAATACTCATCTATACTCATATGTACTCATCTATACTCATCTATATTCATCTACTCTCCTGCTCGATCTTCTCCGGCAAATCCTTGCAAATCTCCGGATCCGTCTTCAGTCTCCGCAGGATGAAGGGCCGCACGATCCGCTGCAGCAGCCGCTGCTGCCGCAAGAAGTCCGGGTTCTCCACGCCTTTTTGCCGGTTCCGGAGAGGGAAGGGCAGTGGAACGGTTCCGGCGTGGTGTTCGGGATCTCCCCGTCTTCATCGGTCTGCCAGGCTGATGTACTGTAATTAGGGATATTCGTGCGGATTGAGAGTGCGGACCATTCCGAACATCAAGCTTGGAGTTGGAGTTGCTGCGTTGCCCGGTTGGAGTTCGATGCCTGATCCATCATGCACAACGAACGAAACCATCCGCACCATCCACGTGCGCCGCTCGTCGCCCGCCCTGCCTCGCGCGGCTTGGGCGATGGGCTTTCCGAAGTTCTGCTCGAACTCCTTCCGCGAGGAGGCCAAGTAGCCCGGCAAGATGAACCTCGTGGAGCCCGGCGCGGAGGCCAAGAAGCCTGTGCCTGGGGCCTGACCTGCTCACACCGAAAAGGTTGTGCCTAACCTGCGTGCTAACAAGCTTGGCTGACCAATGATGCCAGTGTCTGGAACTCCACTCTTGGATTTTTGCAGCATTCATCTCAGCTCACCAAAAAGATTCTAGATCCTAGGTATAGCTCCCCACCTCACCCACCGGATGTTCCATGATTCTCCCACCACCTCTCCCACCACCGGAAGGACGTCCCACCACCGGAACCTCCCATGGACCGTTCTCCCAAGCGCTAAGTCGCTCGAACTGGCTGTGCAAGTCCGCCAGGCGGTTCTCCACCGGCGTCCCGCTCAGCGCGATCCGCACAGGGCCCACCAGCTCCGCCACCTGCTTCACCTCGGCGCGACGGCGCAGCGCGGAGCGCAAGGGGGACGTGGTGGGTCTCGGTTCCACGCACCCCCTGCACTCTGCACCAGTCTCCTTTAGGAGGAAAATATAGTGAAGAAAAGGAACCTCGCAGGAATCCATCCATGTCTAAGACATGAAAGAGGCAAAGCACGGAAGAGACCCCAAGTGTTGGACCCCCCACCAGGGTCTTCCATGAAGGACGGTGTCCAACCGAGGGAGGTAGCACCTGCCTCGGTGTATCCGTTGTCCGAAAGAGAACACCGAGTCCTTCAGGCCACTCTCTGCCAGGCCTGTTTCGATCCGTTGCTGTCCAAGGAACAAATTAAACGAACATGTTATACCTTAAACCCATCCGAGTGGAGGATCATGGATCATATCACAATATATTCCCTGCAATTGAATTGGAAGATTTCTCTGCCATACCTTGGAACAAGAAGCCTTTCTCCAGCCCAAGCGATCCGGAAAAAACAGATCATCCAAATGAGCCTTGCCAGCTAAAGCCTCTGCTAGCCTAGCCCTCGCTCCATGCAAAACAGTCCAAGTGACGGCCTTGGAGATCTGTGCATTGTAGTTCTTGATCTGTTGCGCTTCATCAAGGATGATCCCTGAAAAGGCATCCGGGCAGGCCAACTTCTCCTGCCACAGGCGATTTTAGCAAACTTCTCACTACATGTCGTTCTTCTTGCTTTGGAACAAGATACACGCAGTAACAGACACGACGCGGCGACGGAGATTCTTTGGCGGAAGCCATGCACAAAAACCAGATATACCAAGACAAATAGCTTCACAGCCGAGAACTCGAACAAATCAAGCTTCACGGCTTCACGGAAGAAGTCTTTCCGCTCCACATCTGCTCGGAAGACGCCATAGGAGGTGAGGAAGACATCCGCGGAGCTCACCTTTTGCAGGCGCTTCTCTTGGCGCTTCGCAGCGCGCTGCTGCTTCTGCTTCTCCTCTGCCGACCCAGAGCGGCTTTGAGACCGTGACATGAAAAAACATAACTAGTAACTAATAGAAAAGAAGCTGATAGCTTTTAGTAAAGACTTGTTTCCGTCCATGTTCAGAATCCTACTCCTGTATTCCAACATATTCCAACCCAATGGGGTGTTGTAAGTGCATCCTCGTGTTCGGACGCTTCTGACGTTCTGGGACCTCCGGGAAATGCGGAACTCGCTCTTCGCTGTCTTTGTTCAATCTCCATGGACTTCGGACCTTCTGGTCTTAGCGAAGACAAAGGAAGGAGCTTTGAAGGCAAATAAAGCGAAGGAAAGGCACGAAGGAACGACCGGTCCTCACACCAGTCATCGATCACGACACGGTCCTCACCTCCCCAAGGGTCCCCAGGGGTCGTCGACCAAGTCCCTTCGCCCTTCACCGAGCCGACAGTTCTTGCGCTGCTTGCACCGGCGGATGGCGCTTCCACAGCCAGTCCTTGTCAAAGACGGTGCTGCTCTGCTTGCCGATGAGCCGCCTCTTCTGCTCCGTCGCGGTGGGTCCTCTCTTGGCTTTGGCCGTCTGCGCGGCCAGCGCATGAGCCGCCATGTGGGGAAGGACACAGCGCTTGTTGTCAAAGTACCTCAAGGAAACCAGCTTCAGTTGGACGCATGTGGAGCTTACCTCAGCGCCTTTGAAACAACTACTAATCCTACCTGGTAAACGTCATGATCAAAAAATATAGCAATCCAAGACCATTGTAGGTGGACATATGTGAGCTTTTACCCACACCCATGTTGCACATGTCAGATATACCTTTCGTCCGTGAGGACCTCTGCATAGATGAGCAACAAACTGAGCCATCATCTCCATCTTAGCATCTCATCATTGTATTTACCCCCCTTGAAGATGAACAGCGGAACCTGAGACTTGACACCAGTGGTTTCGACCAACCCCAGTTCCATGATGTTCCATGTGCTTCCTTCCTCACATCTGCCAGGGGCGTCCAGCATCTGTCTCCATGTGGCCCCTCAGCCGTCCCAAAACGGACGTCCTTCAGTCCGCCGCGCGACGTGTGCACTTTGAGCTCGTCGCCCGCCCACATCTTCAGCTCCTCCCGGTGAGTCCGCGAATGGGCGTGTGCGAACGGGCGCGTCGAAACAGGGTCAGACGAAGTTGGAGATGTTGAAGGAAAAAGGTGAAATAGATCCGAACTGCATGCGAAAGCGATCCAACATCAATGTTGATATTAATTAACAAAATATACATAAGATGCGAAAATTTGCCAAAGGTATCAGACGGATGGGATCGATAACATCAGAACCTTACACCTTGAGCCTTGAGCTGTGGTTGCTAAATGTGTGAGCTGGATCTAATTGCTCTCCGAACTTGTTGCGAAAAGTCGAAAAGTCGCGAAAAGGGAGCGATGATAAAAAGAGTCACCCACCAAAAGGTCCCGGGGCTTGCCGGGTCCTTTTGGCGGGCGTCTCTTTTTGAAGGTTATGGGGGCTGCGTGTTTTGACCTCCAGATCCTCTCTCTGTCTGTAGGAGCAAAAGCAACGTTTGGATCAATTCTGCTGGACTTTTGTTGAAGGGCACGGCATGTGACTGGTGTCCAAAAATCTCGAAAAGTCGAAAAGTCAAAAAGTCTCGAACAGTCGAAAAGTCTCGCTGCGTGCTTTCGTTTCCTTTACCGTTTTGACTTTTGGACTTTTTGCGTTTTGCTTGGTGTCTTACAAATAGATCATCGCTAAATGGATTTAGCGAGCTTAGCTTAATGGAGCCACCCTGGCTGAAAACACTCGAAAACGCTCGCAACGGTCCTTCGACCAAGTGGTCAGCAAGCCTTTGGGGACCACCACCAGCATGGGCTTATCCAACATTCCATGCTGCTTCATGTACAGAATCCTGGCGCTCAGAAACGGAGAAGGCAAATTGAGAAGGCTTACTGTATCCTTCCATAGCCATAAAGCCAAAAGAAGTTCGAAAAGTGTTCTATCCCACCCTGCTAGAACACCACCAGTAGATCTCTTTCCTGCCCCCACACCCACTCCCTGCCCGGCCGAGGTGCAAGGAGATGGACTGCAGCGTCTTGCCGAGGCCCATGTCGTCGGCCAAGATGCACCCGAGGCCGTTCCGCGCGTTGTTCACCAGCCAATGATACCCCGTCAGCTGGTAGGGCCGCAGCCGTCCCTCAAGCCTCATGGTCGCAGTCAGTCAAGTGGTGGTGGTCAGAGAGCTGGAGCTTGTCCCAGTGTAGTGTTACTTCGAATCTGAATCGGTAGGTGCTTCGAGACCATGTCAGAAAAGGAACTTCATTGATGTAATGCAGCAAAGTTGGGATCTGGAGCTACTCACCCCATCTTCGAGCAGTGCTTCTATGATCAGAAGCTCAATCCTTGGAGAGTCTGAAGAGAAGTAACCTAACATGGACCCGGGTCAAATGGCACCCTGAAAGAGTGTTTTCCTGTACAAACCAGTAGTTTTCAGGATCATGTTAGTTTCAGCAGGGGTACCTGTTTCACCCTTTATCCACCTTCCATCCATCCCACTCCACTCTGCCATATACCTCCAACATCCTCCAAAACCAAGCGGCTTCTTGGGCAAGGGAACGTCCTTGGCACGGATAATGCCCATCTCCGGGCTGTCGAAGAACTCCTGGACCTTCGAATCCAAGACCACCTCGTCCAAGCCACCCAGCGCCGCCTGGCGAGGCGAGGCGAGGCGAGGCGATCAAGACCGGTGGAGGCCCATTCGTCTCAGCCCAGGCCCGATACCCTTCAGCAACGGTCGGGATGGGATGCCGATGGGATGGTGGAAGGAAGGTAAGGACCACATCCAAGAAATTGCTTGGAAGAAATGCCTGCGCCCACGAATCCCGATCTCGATCCCCAACTGGCCAGAACCAAATCTCCGGATGTTACCACCCCGACCTCATCCCTCTATGAGCTTCTTCCCAAAAGAACGTGGAGGCCCCAACCACGACCCTCCCAAAGACCGCGTGCAACACACGTTTCTATTGTATGTAGCACGGGTTCGCAGGTGTTCAACGCCTTCAGCAACGCCACGCTCGCCAGGGGCTGCGGTGGATCGCCCTTCACGCGCTTCAGGATGCTCTTGGCCACGCGTCGGCCCACAGACAAGGAGCCTACCACAGCAGAGTCCGCCGTCCGTCAGCGGGCGTTTCAAGGGGCGGGCGGAGACAAGCCAGGGAGTCGATGACACCGGTCACCGTCGGGTCACTCCGGGTTCGTTCCAAGAAGGGACCCCCAAAAATGAGGTTAAGAATGGTGAGGATTCTAAAGGATTCCGTCGTTCAACGGTCGTGTTGAGCATCGCTGGCATCGAAAGTGAGTATAGTGATTGACTGGTGGGATCAAAAAAGATCTTCCTATACTTTGCGCGATCCTCTCAGCGTGCCCCCGGCGAAAACCACCGAGTGATCCATCACTGGCCATGATGGAGCAAGCATCAACTATTGACGGTGTCTTTTCACATCTCATTGGTTTTTGACCGGGTAGGTACACGAAATCTACATGAACAAACCATGATCTCCGAGTCACCCATGTCCGAACCAAAGGTCTTCTGCCAAACACTCCAAAAAAGCTGACTGGTGCGACTCGTAGGGAATGAGGGTGGCTGGATCCGGGAATCTCTCTTGGTGCTCATTCCCTCATTCTCTACTAAGCACCAAGAAAAAAATCGTGTTTTCAGCCGCCAGGGTCCGGCCTTTGCTCAGCTTTTTGTTCACCTTGCGCTTCGCTGAGATGATGTGGTGTCCTTGTGCCCTGGATTGAACCACGGACCGGGCCATGCCGCGACAGTCCGGCAGCGTCAATAGCGGTGGTGAGCTTTGCTGGCCGTCCTTGTCGGGGCCTCGTTGGGAGACAGGGATGTGGTGGAAGTTGTGGTAGAAGACAGGTGGTAAAAAGAGATTATTGTTCTGCTTATATATATACTCCAAATGTGAAATAAGTGATTTCCTTCCTTTTCAACCTGCACCACGTGCCACATCACCATACATCACCAATCCTTTCCGTCATCCGCTGAGCCTCTTCCCTCCTTTTGCTTGATCTTTCGCTCAATTCACCACATCACAAACAGGAATAAGGAATCTGGTTGCACTGCATGCCGAACATGTGGTTGTTAGTGTCCCTGCCACAGCTCAAAGAAACAACTTTGGTACACGTCCCCTTAAAGGCAATGGTGCTGGTGATGCTCTTTTGGCCTTCTGCATTTCTAGCATTTTCTAGAATCCAACATGCACAAATTGAAGCATGAATCGGAAGTTGGGTGGCTCATGCTTCAGCTTGTTCATTTCAAAAAAGGAAATAGTGCTGGTGATGCCGCTTTAGTCCTTTCTCTTTTGTTTGTTCGCGTGTTCGTGGCTGCAGAGAAAGCGCGACCCAACCAGTAAGAAGAGCATTCCCACCGGTCTGTTTACGCAGGTCTGGGAAGATGTCCCACGGTCAGTCTGCTGGACATCTTGTTCAAGGAAGCAGTAGCATCTCGGTCCACCCATTCATGCTGCATCAAGAGATGTCTACCAGCTGTAGTAACCAGCTGTAGTGGGAGAGTGACTTGTATCCTTCTCAAAAGGGCGTCCCACGTTTTGGGAAGAAGAGGTACGTACGATCTACTATGAGTCAGAAGGCCCCCCAAAACCATCCATGCCCAAAAACAAAGAGAAACAAATCCCCGCCAGAGCTGCTTTCCGGTCGTCCCTTTCAGCTCAGGCTCCACTTCCCTCCTCCACCTTCACCGCCCACTCGAGCTGGACTGCTTGGTTGATGTCGCGCCAGGACTTCACAGCTTTCTCCTAAAGACCGAGGAACCCGAAGGGAACGCGAAACGCCACGGTTTGGAGCCGCGACTTCGCGGTCGGAACGCCGTGGCAAGCCGAACAGGCCCAGTTGGCGGCGCGAGACCGCGAGACCGCGAGTGAGACCGCGCACAGACTGCGCATGAGAATGAGAAAAGTACTGGTGCTTCCCACAAAAAAGGAGCCAAGTCGGAAAAAAAGGAAGAAAACATTGTTGAAAACAGCTCAACATCTTATGCTCCAATCAGGTGGTCTGAGTCTGTGAATGAGGAAAACCCTGCAACATCTTTTGTATCATAAATTCATCGCCTGATCCTGGTTCATCTTCCTCTTCAGACCATACCTCCCCACCACCGAAAACATCTGCGTTTCGGAACATCCGGTCCTTCTTGGGCTTGAACCGCACCGCGGTCACCACCGAGATCGGCGTCGCCTTCTTGGTGGCCTTGGTCAAATCCTCAGCCGTGCCGGCGCATTCGTGCGAAAACACGAGCAAGGGAGGTGGTTGCAACAGAGGATGTGCGATGGCCATGCGAGATCAGCCATAAGAAAAATCCGTGTCCCAAGAACGATTCAGTTTGGTGCACATGGTTTTCTTTGCAATTGATGGATTTTTGGTGCACGAATGCCTGAGGCCCTCCAATTCTCCTACAACCTCCTTAGTGTCCACTGTGCTGCGGAGCATACTTTGAGTGATTTGCCCCCAATCGATTGATAGAAATCTGTCCCGGAAGTTCCTGAAAATATCCTGAAACAACATGTTGAACCCTAGAAGTTCCTGAACTTTCCTGGAAGGTCTGGGGAGCTGCCTAGTGTCTTTCGCCCCTTCCTGCTTGTCCAACCGCTTTCGTTCAGAATGGATGAACAAACTCCAGCCATGTGGATCCTCGTGGATCCGCTCAAGTAAACCAGTTCTCAATCCGCTGCATTCCGGCAGTTGTTGTTTGTCTTGAAGATTTTACGCTAAAGACTTGACAACTGACCAACGGGCAGTCCACAGCCACCACTCACTCACTGGACCACAGCTTCCATATAGAAGAAGTCTTCAACCAACCAACACTGGACCACCAGACCAACTTATCAACTTCATACCCTCCCGCAGATTAACAGGAACCCTGAAAACCGGTGGCTTCACGAAGAGAATGAATCGTCACCGTCTTACGCTACAAGGCTTCACAGTCCGTGAGTCTCCCAAAACCTATGTGAGTCGGGTACTCTCCACGGTCGGCATCCCGTTCAGCCGATCCAGCCGGGCTCCCCGGCGTTGTTGGCCTTCTTCGCTGCCTTTTCCAGCTGCTCGCTCCGCAGCATCAGCGCGCCTTTTCGGGAACCGCGCGCACCGCAGCAGTGGCGCACCCCGTGGGAAGTTGGAGTCTTGGCAAGTGAGTCGTGTCTCAACATTCGGGGCCGAAGCTGAAAAGCTCCGTTTCCTGTGCTGAAATCTTCTTGGCCAGGCTGGCAGACCACTGAAAAGTCTCAACAAAAAACAAATGCTATAAGATGCTATCAGTGCTCCCCAAAAAGATGACCATGGGACGGTTTTTCACAAATATATACATGTTCGTATATGTGGGGCTAACCCGAACTTCTATCCATGACAGGGAGTGCTAGCCATGTAGCTATCCAGCTATCCAGCGAATTTCAATGGTGACGCATCCAACAGCAAACACACCCACCATCCGAATGGGTGCCTTTTACTGTTCTCCGAGCTGGCACGAGCGGCCACACACACATCACAAACCGATGCAACAACGAAACTCATTTGGCAGGTTACATGCACAATGCCCAAACAAAAAATACACAAGACAAAGTTGCAGACTCTGAGGAACCGGCACTCGTGCTGGACGCTGGCGTCGAACTCGGCGCTGGCAGCCTCGGCTGCCTCCTTCAAAGGCTGCACCTTGCCCTGTAGACGTTCGGCCAAAGCTTCCTGCCATGCCTGGGCGTTGACAACGGCGCCGCTTTGCTTTGAACCACCGAGGTGCCGAAACAAGGTGTCACTTGCTGTCGGGGTGAATCAACCCAAAAAGAGATTTAGCTAAGGCTTCACCTGTACAACCCAAAATGCAAAACGCAAAAGTCCATATATGTGAATCAAAATAGGGACACCTCCCAGTTCGTCCCCCTGGAAGAAGGGAAATAGACCCGTCTACCCCGTGGGCCAGGGTGTCCGCCTATTAAAATACACACCTATATATACCTAGGTCCTGAATGACCTCTATTTTGGACCACCAGCCCCCCAAAATATAGCCTTTTCCTATATCACGGGTCAATTGGGTTCCAGGTATATACAGCATATATATTATAATACACATATAACTCCCAGAACATCGCCAGGGAATCGGTGATTTCTTCATCCCACCTTCTCAGTGGCGAGTGTGGCTGGCAACACGCTTTGGACAGCATCAAAGGTGTTGCAGTTACGGGAGAAATTCACCTGGAGCTTCTCGGGATCTTCTGGACAACGCCCCTCCACCACGCCTGGCCCAGCGGTTTTTGGCAGAGTTTTTCACGGGTGTGGCAGGTGACGCTGTTGTTGTGCGGATTCCGGAAATGAAGAATCTTGCAACATTACCTAACTCAACCTGCGTGAAATCAAGTGTCCCCAAATTCATCTTAGACACATCAAACTCCCTATCTTGGAGTGAACTACACTTATTGCTTTTGAAACATGGACACAGGCTACCAGGTTTTTTTCGGGACATGTCTATCTCATGGTCCGGTGGTGTGTGTGAACAGACAAGGTCTTCCAGTGAACGCAAGGCTGTCAAGTTGATGCCCAACGGTCTACCTATGCGGAAAACTGGGTGCCCCGTTTGAGCCGGACTGACTGTCGCCCGTCCTGATGCCGCTGACTGAGTCGCCCGTGCGGACCAAACATGTGTTCCATTTGAAGGGCTCAACTGTTTGGAGGGCACTGAGAAAAGCAAACCTGCGCCAAACATTTGAAGGAAAATATCTGTCACTCGAGCAGAGCAAAGGGGATGAAAAACCGGAAACGTCCCACTGCTCGCACTTACAATAGTCACTGACTTCTCTCTTCAGTACCTTTTTGCAGACTGGAGCTTGTGAAGAAGTAAGCGGTCGAGTGTTGATACCAAATCAAAATCAAACCCACGAAACGCTCCGTTCGGGCGAAAACTGGGCGAAAACAGAAGAACCTCAAGTAACTAAGGAGGCCGAGGCACAATGGGACAAAGGAACAACTGAGAAAAGTATGACAAAATGCCTGACAGAAAAACTAATTGACTACAAATGATTACAATACAACCTGTGTGGTTCGCCATGCTTGCCATTTTACGCTTCTTGTTGATGTTGTCATCTTCCTCCCCCCCAAAAGGCTTCAGCAAGTCCAGAAGCTTCTTCAGCAGGTGCAATCCACCCGTCTGACAACCGAAAGTAACGAAACCGGTTTCGTCCAAAAATGGATCCAGTTGGCATTTGAAGACTGCCACTTGAGAGCGTCACACCTGTCACACCCTCCCAGTCTTCCAAGCTGGCACCCCTCCGCGGCCCGCCGATCCTTCGCGTCCGTTGACGTCCCGCACGTAGCTGCGCTTCTTGAAGCCCAAGATCTCTTCCACCTCCTCTGCGCACGCAGACTCTGGGCCGGGCACCGGCTGCGGATGGGCCGAGAAGATCGAGGAGTTGGGCACCTCAGCAAGTCCAGAGCGACTGGGAGCGGCTTTGGTAGATCTTCAGAGGTGGAGGGGTGGTGGAGGGGTGGTGGAGGGGTGGTGGAGAGGTATTTTGTGATGGAGACGAGCGTGGTGTGTTCAAAGAACTTAAACGGAACACTGCCGGATGATAATGATGATGATTGATGGTTCTTGCATGTTGAAGACACTTTGGGGGAAGTTTCTCTGCATGCAAAGCGCGCAAATCAAAAAAGAGGAAAAAGGGTTGACTCGTTTTTTTCTCCCAAGAACCACAATTCTTCGGGCGAAGTTGGGAAAATAGACCTGGGAGCTGTCATAGCCCTGCCGTTGCTGCCAAATCCCATGGTGCCCTTCCAAGCACGGCCAAAAGTTCATGGGCAGATTCCTGATCAAGACCGGAGCTCCAGCTGTGAAGATGTTCACAAGGCAGAGCTCCAGGGCCTCCGCGCGCATGATGCGCGCCTCCAGGCCGTTGGGTCCATAGCAGCGGAGCGAACACACGGCTCCGTCGACCTGCTCCACGGTCCACTGCTTCTCGCTCTCGGCGCTGGAGTGGAACACGGGACTCGCTTGACAGAAGGATGCCTTGATGCGGACCTTCAAGGGAGTGATGCAGGAGGGAATTGCTCGTGAAAAGCCATCCGTAAATACAAAGTTTTTTTTCAGAGTACCGGTGAGAGAGGCGAAAAACGGAATTACATCCATATACTTGCAATCAACAAGCGCATGCCTCAAATTGCTCACTTATGGAGTTCACCTTGTCTGAGTCTAGGTACTTTTGGGCAAGAGACTACCCTGCCTTCTGCCCAACGACAAACTTGGGCGCAGGTGGCGCCTCAGCTGGCGTAGACAAGAAAAATGAAAACATCCCACCACTTCTTGGTGTCGTTTGAAATTCTGGCTACCTGTCGCTACACCTGACGACCAAGGCCAAACGCTTCAGCTGGCTCAAACACCCGGATTCCTTTTGAGGAACCAAACCTCCTACCGCCATCGAGAGAAAGCCATCAAACTCTTTCAGTTTACGTCTTACGTGGGGTCCTCCTTCCAATATGCCCTCTCTGGGCATGGTGTGTGTACGTGTGTGTGTGTGTGCTTGTCTGTCTCCTCTGAAAGACGAACCAAAAGGAAACTCACATCAACACCGACCTTCCCACCCCAGAAATCTTCTTCCAGGCACTAACGGCTTGGCTTCAGCCTGCTTGGCCAACATCTGCGCGCGTTGGATCTCGAAATGGTTTTCTTGCACCTCGGAGCAGCTGACTTCAAAGGAGCGGGACGGAGGGGGCTGAGAACATGGGCATCCTTCGAAGAAAGAACTCGACGTACGCGTTTCTACATTCAACCGTTCAGGAAACCCAATGATCAATTCAAATGGCTGGGGTGATTAATCAAAAGTCTACAATTACAAGTCACTTCGAAACACGGTCAGTCCCCTTCTATGTGTATCATGAGGAGCTGAACCATTCGAAGACAGAAACAACCGCCTTCATCCCTCGCCGATGATCACCGGCCCCGTAGGGTCCAACGCAGGGCATCGATCCATCCAGTTCGGTCACACCTAGCTAGCTGGCGAGTCGGCTAGTCTCATGAGTGTGACTCGCACGTTGTTCGGCAACTGGTTTGATCTGAACAAGATCAAAGAAATTGCTTTGTCTCAAAGAATAGGTGTGAATTGGGTGGATGGTTCATTCCCAAGTAGATAAATAGAACGCGAATCTACCGTGAAACAAACCGCAGCACATGGGGAAAACAGGTGATGCTGGCGCCATTTCCGGAACCAAACCCCCCCGGTAAGCCCCACGGGGTTTGGAAGGTTCAAGCCAAATCAAGGGTTTCCGGAAGCCACTGAACAAAAAAATGGACGCCAAGCCTGGCCCAAACCTCCAGAAAGCTTTAAAACAACATACTAAAAACATGTCCTCTATCTCTGTGCCCCTTCGCCATGTTGTGAATTCCAATCCGGCGCAAGGCATGTCGCCATCCCCAAACCACGGTGGCATGGCACCTTCTGTTGGCAACTCGAGCGCCGGTGCATCTTCTGCTCCTTCGTCCGCTCTGCCTATGGCGGCGAACCCCCTCCGAAGGTGCCAGGACGTGAACCAGCGAGCGGCCATCGGTTTGATCGCCGCATCGAGTCACCAAGACCCACCAGTTGTAACAATCTTAGATTGGCAAATGGTTAAAATGATGGAGGTTGAACACTTGACGTCGTGAAGCGTTATTCTGTGCCTCCATCCCATTTTCCACAATCTGAAAATAGATCTTTACGGAAAACTCAGAACACTTGGCGCGTTGCTCTAGACCTTGGGACATGCCCTCAGAAGTGCCTGGAGCGTCTAAGAAAAAATTGGAAAGCAAAACCCCAAAATCGACGAACCTCCCAATGCCTCAGACTTCACTGTCACCTCAGGTCTTTCGCCCGGACCCAGCGCGAACGTCTTCGCGTGCCGCGGGACCCTGGGCCTTCGTGAGCTCCTCGCAGTGACGCTTCAGAGTCTCATCAGCGTTATGTTTTCTGGCCGTGAGATTGGCCACATCCTGCCGGTCAGACCCAACCACGGGGGCGACCCCTGCTACCACCATGGGCGACCGCACCAGTCAGGTGTTCTTCAGGGTTCGAAAAGTAAGTAGAGAGAAAGTGGTTTTGAAGATTTGGGAGGTTTGGAAACTTGAAGATTTGGGAGAACTTGAGTGGGAGACTTTAATGATTTCGCGGAAATGTTCCGCAAACAGCCCCTTCCACAGGTCACAGAGTGGGTTGTCCGCAACAGCATCGTGAAAGGTCACCTGGGAAGGGATGAGTTGTCTCAGGCGACGCAAAAAAAAAAGGTACATGTGCCCGGCAACAGACCCTGAAAAACAACACATTTGGTCCCATTGCGAAATGCTGAAGAACTGGAGAACAATTCAAAGGGTTGAGTAGATGTGGTGGTTGCAAGAACGATTCCAAACATGTTGTTTAATATGTTTTTGCATGGCGAAGTCTGGCGATAAGCGTAGAAGATTGGTGATTCTTTGTGCCACCAAAATGCCATCCTCTGGAATTTTCAGGCAAATCACCGGTTCCAATAACCAGTTCACTAGGAACTTGAGGCAGCATTTAATCACTGGTCAAACCTAGTAACAAATCGTTACTGCAGGTTTGTTTCATCTGATGAGCATGGTATTTTCACCCTTGGCAGTCACACCCGTGCCATTTTTGACTGCAAAAAGCTACCTGCTCCGGGTCCTTTAAACCTCCAGTCGTCGGGGCCTTTTCCTCTTCCTCCGACAACTCACACTCCGACGAACTGTCGCTGTCTGATTTCAAGGCATTAAGCAACGCTTCATCGTCGAAGAGGTCGGGATCGAACCACATGGCTGGCGATTTCAACTAAGGACTCCCAAGGCACCAAAATGCTGCAGGCAGGATCATTTTCTGGCATCGCTACTAGGAGCAAGAACGCTACTAAAGTTCCTGGCATCGCTACTAGGAGCAATGTCGAAACGGGGGCAAGGAATGTTTCTGGGTCCCACCTCGTGTGTCACCATGGATGTTTAAGGATGAACCAGTCCAGTCTGGTGCATTTTCGGAGCACAAGCACATGAAACGCTACCTCACAGTTCCTCAAAGAGCCACTAAACTCGGCTGTTTGACTGGGTTCCACCCTTACACGGATCCCAATCTCACTCTCCTGGTACAAGCACCCTTTTGGCTGGTCCTCTGCGGATGGAACCTTGCCCTGTGTTGGCAAAATCCACCCATAAATCGATAGGAATGGTGCGAAGCACAACTCCTGTTGCCATTTCGGCAGTGATGGAACTGACTTGAGCTGCGCTAGGCTGGCAAATTGAGTGTTTTGTTAAGTGTTGTTGTTGTTGTTGTTGCTGTTGTTTATTGTCTGACCACTTTGTTGCCCTTCTTCTTTTCTCGAAGGTTTGAGTTTTTTGGATTGGTCACCAAAACCTTGCCCAGCTGCAGCGCCGGCGGTCCACTTAAGCCGACACCTTTGGTCAGGACCAGGAGCCTCGAGCAAGCGACCCACAAAAACACGACAGGGGTGCAAGCGACCCCTAAAAGGGGGGGGACCTGTCTAAATGTAAGCTACATTTTTTAGACCCCCCCCTCCCCCCAAAAAAAACATTGAAAAATGTAGCTTACATTTAGACAGGTCCCCCCCGGTTTTGTAGAGATAGGGGGTGGGGATGGTACAAGCACCCTTTTGGCTGGTCCTCTGCGGATGGAACCTTGCCCTTGTTGGCAAAATCCACCCATAAATCGATAGGAATGGTGCGAAGCACAACTCCTGTTGCCATTTCGGCAGTGACGGAACTGACTTGAGCTGCGCTAGGCTGGCAAATTGATTGTTTTGTTAAGTGTTGTTGTTGTTGTTGTTGCTGTTGTTTATTGTCTGACCACTTTGTTGCCCTTCTTCTTCTCTCGAAGGTTTGAGTTTTTTGGATTGGTCACCAAAACCTTGCCCAGCTGCAGCGCCGGCGGTCCACTTAAGCCGACACCTTTGGTCAGGACCAGGAGCCTCGAGCAAGCGACCCACAAAAACACGACAGGGGTGCTTGATGAAATCGAGATAAGAGCTCGAGGAACAGGGTTTACAGGTGAACACTTCATCCAGGTGAACAGGGTTTCAAAGATGTGTTCCATTCCGACATAGTTCAAGAAGATGAAACCTGCAGTTTTCGTGGTATTTCCCACACAAGAAGATGAAGCCTCCCTATAACAAACTGTGGGAAGAAGAAAAGCTGACACATCACCTAACTCCTCCAATCTCCGGCGCAGGTCAAAGTCCACGATGCAGGTCCCATCTCCGTAGCTCGACGCTCTCTTTGTTTGGGGCTACTGCTGGCAAAATTGTTGCTTCAATGGATGAACGTGGACTCAACCTCAACTCTTTCAACTAGCAGCGTTCACCGCCAACAAGGGCCACTTTCTATCAATTCGAAACAAGTCACCAAAAAAACATCCAAATTCTGGAGTCTTTCAGGTCCGCATGAAGTCCACCGCTGCTTCACCCATGTTGTTGAGTCTCCGAACGATGGAAACACTGATCGAATCGCCGAGGTTAAGCCCTAAGAATGGCGACTTTTGGATGGGTTCAGAAGTGGCTCAAAACGCGGCTTTCGCTTTCTTTGGGCCCAAATGTTGGGGAAGTAGCTCACAAGCGCGGCTTTCGCGGATGTTCCTCCCGGAGACCGGATTTTCCGACCGGATCGAACCCCTGTCCCAGCGTGCCTCGACTCCTGCCCCAGCGCTTTGGATTCCAAGCTTCTTTCCTGAAAAAAGGCTGAGAACAGGTGGGGTCGGCATACATCACCCGTGCGACCGTCACACTCGTGAGTCGGCGCGCAGTCATCATGGGTTTTGGTTGACCGCGTAGAGCCCCAGAGAGGCCCCGAGGTAGAGAAGTTTATGATCACTGACTGCAGGGCAGGTTTCACTACATCACTCCACTGACCTCATGGTTTTGTTGGTACCTCCACTGACGCCCGCGCGCGCGCGCGTGCGCGCAGCAACAACAACAACAACAACAACAACCACAACAACCACAACCACTACCACTACCACTACCACTACCACTACCAACTACCAACTACCAACTACCAACTACCAACTACCACCAACAACAACAACAACAAACAACTACAAAAAAAACAACAAACAACAACAAACAACAAACAACAGAGATGGACGCAAACCAGAAATGAACGGACGATGATTGACGAATTCTCCTCCCCCTGCTTTCCAAAGCCAGGCTTCTTTTGTTGAGGCCAGGATTCTTTGCTCGTAGACCACGAGGACCACTCCTTCTGTTCTTTCCAATCATTCCAATCGTCCCGCTTCCAGGCATCTTGTCTCCAAGACCGCAATGATTGGCCTGGAGAGACTCCTATGGGAAGAAACTTCACAAGCACAGTAAGATACAGTAAGCGATTCTGTTCATGCCCTGTCTTGAAAGTAGAATGTCAAAGTCAAGATTAAGATTCATGCTCGTTGATACCAACCAGTAGACATCCGTAGACCACGGATCATGGGACGTGATCCTGAATCCGAAAGGATCTGAACCCCTTGGCAAATCTGCAAATCTTGGCAACTAGAAAGCTAATCAAAAAGGGGGCCCAAGTGAAGTTGGGTCACGACCAAGATGATGGTGGGAGGACTGGGATTGCAAATGATTGGAATCTCTTCCTTGGCCACGTCGAATTCATGTTGCTCGCGACCGCATGGGCACAGGGATGTATCTCCGTTCGGTCATCTTATTTTCTCTGTCCTGAGCCACTCCATTGACCAGTGCTGCCGGTGGCTTCGCTTGGCCCTGGGCAAACGTTTGGCAATCTTTTGATCTATGAAATAACATGTATATATATATGCCGTTTACACTGTGTATATACACATATAATATATATATGTATGTGTGTGTCCTATGGTGATCCTGAAGTAGATGGAAAATATATGTGGAAAAATAGGAAAAAGGAAATGTTTTCGGATAGTTGATTCATGTTCTATCTACTCCAGGTTGCATTTATGCCTGCTCTGTTTGAGTAGGGGACACCCGCTTGGGCAGGAACAGTGGACACCACCGCCAGAGGGTGTTTTCTTTGGATTGCCTTTCAGAACTGTCCAAACCAGAGCCACCCCAGCACGCGCCTTTGATCGGAACCGCCAAGAAGCCTTGGCCACCTGAGAGGCCGTGGCTGGATGTGGCCGGTTGGGTCTTGCAGCCCCAAACAGATCCCACAAAGCGTGACATTCTTGAAACAGCCATGAAAACCTGACGACGTTCTGAACATGTCCTAAGTCAAACACTAGCACAAGTCTACTGCAAACCTGGCGCCCAGCTGCAGAGTAGGTGTGTTTAGCTGGTGCCCGCTACATAATCTAATTGAGAAAACACCATCATAAGTTACATAAGCTACTTTCGACCCCTTTATCTGTTTGTTTTGATCATAGACTTTTGGCCGGACTCCATGCTCTTTGTATGCCTTTAGTAGATCATGAATGAAGCTGATGGCTTGTCAAGGCTCGTGGTAATGGTTGTTCCGTCCGGGGCTGCTCTATGGTACTCAGTGGGTCTCAGGATGTCTTGGACCTGCACCACTGTCAGACTGAGCTACTAAGTTTCAAATACCCAGACTGTAATTTTGAAATACGCGATGTTCACATTGATAAGCTGCTCAGTTCGTGAACCTGAACACCACTTACCGCACTTAAGACCGTTCACAACCTCAACGATCTTCGCACCAAACTGGGACACGGCTGCAACCCAGTGGAGAACCTGGCGTCCCTGACAATATTCTCAGAGTTCCATAGGTTGTGAAGAGAAATGTTCAAAAGAACACCACTAGTTCTAAAGAATACCAGAAATGTCTGCAACATTTGGGGGCATCGCTACTAGGAGCAAAGGACGCTACTAGATCTACTAGAACCAAAGGGTTTCGCTACTAGGAGCAAAGGATGCTACAATGCTTCCCGCAATTCCAGGCGGTCACCACACGGTCACCATGCGGATCCATGCGGCTGGGGCGTCGATCTGCAGCCGCGAGCGGAGGAGGTGAGAGCCGATCGAACCCAAGTGATCCAGGTAGAGCTCCTGCAGAGATGCGTGGCAACTCAACGTTGTCGGTCGAAGCAGCAACATCACAACCCGCACCGCGACCTACATTTTGACGGCCAATATATGATATCGTAATTTGGGTGGGCTTGGGTCCTGAAGTATGTGAATCTTGGATCATATGGAGCCTCTAGCTTGAGCCCTTTTTCTTGGGCATTTTTTGCGCTTGGACTTCTTCTGCAAAGGACGCACTCGTCGGTCAACACCATCTCCTGCAAGGCCGCTTCCACCCGGTGTTTCCAGGCTGAGTCTGCTTCTCAGCTGACGCTGTAGTTCTGGTGGAGCGGCTTTGTAGACCTCAGCCGGCGTGGAGTTGGCTAAAAACCATATGAGCGATGGAAAGTATTTCCGTTGAGTTATCACATGGGCCTTCCATACCTCGTTCTCCCATCTCGCATCGTTTTTGGGGTGTAACCTCGTTCTCCATTCCTGTATCTGTCTTGTGCAATGTATACCCATCTCGTTCTTGAGAGGTGTTCCTACCTCGTTTCACCAGCTAAACATGTCATTAACTAAACCATTTTTAAACAAATGGCGCCATTGATGCCAATCTCGTTCTCCGGATGTTCCTACCTTGTTTCGCTAACTAAATCTGACATTGGGCTATAGAAAAGGAACGCCCCTTCTACTAATCTTGACTACCGCAAATAAAAGCCGTTGCTCATATGGGCTCGAGTTTAAGAAAGGGCGCCCCTTTTCCGTGGACAACTTGGACGCTCAACTTGGACACGGTGACGGCTTTCAGCCAGCCAAACCACAACCGGCGCTCCGAATGCCACATCCCACACCTTCTCCCCAGTCTGAGGTGAGACAGCGCAGATGGTTCTCGCCTGCGGCTGGGGCAGCTGCAACAAAGTGAAATCAAGCGTAGCCATCTCAATGGCTGGCCTTCTGGGCCTATCATCTGCCAATGGGCAGCTCCCACACGCACGTTAACTTACGTTAACATATGCCAACTTCCTTTTGAGAAGCCACACCCTTGACCAACTTCCCGTGCCCCCCGCCTTCTTGGGAGTTGACTCCAAGGGTCCGTGTGCTCCAAGCCTCCGTGGCATGTCCTCCTCTTCGGTCGCGCCTGAACGCGCGGATCCTGAACTGATGCGTCTCTCACCGGCTGGCAATGTCTCCTTAGCACCTGCAAGCTCTTCATTCACTTCTTCATTCCCTGTCCCTTGGCCTTGGACATCCTGCTTTGTGTCAACCCTGCAATCAGTGAACATTGAGCGCTGGGACTCATCATCTTCCTCCGCGTCTCCTCTCTCCTCAGTCTCTTGCTCCTCCACGTCGTCCTGCTCGCAAGCATCGGGCACACTATGGGGCAGTGTGAGAATGGCATTCTCTGACGTTGAGTTTTCTTCTGGAGTTGTCTCAATTTCTGGCGCTGGCTCAATGCTACTCTCAAGCACCTCAAAGGTCATCATTAAACACCCCTGGGATACTCATCAAAGGGCGACTCATCACACAAGGACCTCTATGCTGACAGCTTCAAAAAAAAATCAGTTTACTCCTTGCCACTTCCCTTTCATTCAAAAAACTGCATTCTCATTCAAAAAATGCTGCAGCGCCAGCTATGTTTTCCCAACTGCCATGGCCTTAGGCCTTCTTGGGGTACTTGGTCTTGGAAGGTAGCTGCTCTACTAAACTTTCCAAAGCCTGGGAAACATCATCTTTGATGACTCCAGGACTTTGCTCTACTTCTCCCCTGCCAAGCTTGAAAGGCTCTGTGTTTTTCACGTAGGACCATTTAGTCCACAACCATTCATGCGCCAACTGGAGTTTGTTCTTCCAGTCTGGACCATCTTTACGGTCAAAACTTCGCCCAAAGCTTTTTTGGGACCATGGAGGAAGGGTCCACTCAGCACAATCAGCATCCAATCTAAAAGAAGCCACCCATCCTTGGATCAACACACAAAAGTCTGGTTCCAAAAAAACATTTGCAAGAAAGAGAGAGGAACCAGTTGTACAAACAAGTTTCTGTGGTCCTGGTGCTTCAGCAGCAAAACCCCTTGTGGTGGAGTGAGGAGACTGAGGACAGCTGGAGACTCATGGAGCTTTGGTGCTCTGGGAATAACAGCACTCTCATGCTCTTGCTCTGCTTTCTCAGCAGCAGCCTCTTGCCTTGCTTTCTCTTCAGCCTCTTGCCTTGCTTTCTGTTCAGCCTGTTCCCTTACTTTCTCTTCAGCCTCTTGCCTTGCTTTCTCAGCAGCCTCTTGTCTTGCTCTCTCCTCAGCCTCTTGCCTTGCTTTCTTTCTGTTCAGCCTGTTCCCTTGCTTTCTGTTCAGCCTCTTGCCTAGCCTTCTCTGCAACCTCTTGTTTTGCTTTCTCTTCAGCCTCTTCCCTTGCTTTCTCTAAAACCTGTTGTCTTGCTTCCTCCTCAGCCTCTTTCCCTTCAAACTCAGGTTCCTTCTTACTTGCTTCCTCAGCAACTTCTTCAGCCTCAGTCTCTAGATCTGGAAAATGCACTGTGCTTGACCTTCCTTTGCCTTTGCCTTTGCTTCTTCCTCTGCCTTTGCCCCTGCCTTTGCTCCTGCCCCTGCCTCTCCCTCTAGCTGAAGCTTTGGACTCCAAGAGTTGCACAGCCTTCTTCAAAGCCCTTTTAGCCCTGGTTTGTTTTACTTTCAACTTCTCACCTTTTAAATCAGGATCCCCCTGGTTTCCAATTTCTTCTGCCATGTTCAAAAGGTCCTCATAGTCACTCAACTCTGAATCTGCTTCTTCCTCACCATCATCATCATCTCCTTTGGGTTTCAGGTTGGACCTTTGGAGTGCTTTCTCCCTTTCTGCCTCATCTTCCACAAAGAGCTCAATCAGCTGCAAATATCTATCCTTTTTGGCTTTAGATTTGGTTCTTTGCTTGTAGTGCTTCAGAACTGTTAGGCACTGGTTGATGGTGAGTGACAAACCCTCAGTGATCCTGGCAAGGGGTAACTCCTGGGCTTCAGCAGTCTGCTGAAAAATGATGGGTCCAAATCTGTTTTGGAGGACTGGGTTGGTTGGGATTGACAGCCAGGAACCCAATCACCCACTGCATACCAGCAAAGTGAGCCATGTTCCTGGTTCGGCTCCAGCTGGAGTCTGCCACTATCAGCTTCCCCAACCACTGATGCCCTCCAAGCCAAAAAGTTGTAGGTGCTCCTGGCCACAACCATTACCACTGCACCCTCCTCCCTGCAAGCAAGGAAGGAGCCTGCTGCACCAACCAAACAAGTCAGGCTCAAAGTGTCATATACAGCTGGTTCCATGGACAGCCCTTGGCCCAAGAGCACCTCCAAAGCAGCTGCTTCTCCAAACCTAGGTTTGCTGGTGGTGATAGACTAACCTATAATGAGGCTGCCACAAAAAACACAAAAGCTTGCCTGCAGGATGACAAGCCAAAGAAACAAGGAGTGGTGGCTTGTACTGGGCCATGTGAAGTTGGGGCCACTGCCCTTATGCTTCATCACACTTTGGTACTCTCTGTTCAATTGATGGCTGTTAGGGTGTGTGTGGCCTTCTGGATGCTTTGCACCCTGTTCCTCCCACAGCTTGCTGAAGCTTTCTGCTCATCAGTGACACACACACACACTGATGGCAAACCTCTCCCTGCAAACACCTCAGAGTTGATGACTGATTGGTATTTCTGAGGCCTGGATATTTGATCGGCAGCATGGAGTAAGTCCTTCACTTTTTGATGGCAGTTCTCAACAACAACTGTATCTCCTATGTTTCTAGTGGCTGTTTGGGAAAACAGCACTGCATTTGCATCTCCATGCCCTAAACCAAGCCCAAGGTCAGACTCATTCAGGAGGAAGTGCAGCCTTACAAAGGCTGTCTTCAAGAAGTGTGCCTGCTCTAAGGGCCAAATGGCATGGCCCATAGCTTGAAGCATCTCTGCTTGCAAAATGACACCCCGCTCCCCCTGCATCCTTTTTTGTGTATCAGCAAAGGTCTCAGGCCAACACAGAGCTGCATATCGCCATGGAGGTTTGCAACACTGAGCCACTAGACTCATAGCTCTTTCAGAGATCAAACTGACAGTGAACTTCCAATGCTTTTGCAAATGACCCTCAGTCATGAGGTCTTCATCCAGGTACAACTTCTTCATCACAGTAACATTGCACAAGCACTGGCTGGCTATATCAAGCAACTCCTCTTTCCAACCACCAAGGACCATTTTCACCGCATAGTCTTGCACTTGATCAGCAGTCTTGACATCTTTTGCCTTCCTGGTGTATCTTGTCCACAAAGTCTTGCCACATTCATACACCAAGCACTGCTGCCACATGCTCTCTTTGTTCACCAAAGCAGGAACCAGAGCCCATGCGCCATACTTCTGCTTTAAGTAGCGAATCTCCTGCTGTGGTGTCATGCCTGAAGTCAGGCAGAAAAACATTGGTTTCAAAGTCAGCTTCACCTTCTTTACCCTCCCAACTATTTTCATGAAGCATCACAAGCTTTGTGAAGTAGATTTCCCCCTGATGGAAATGCTGGCTGTCCCACCAACTGTACCATCTCATGAGTTTTGTCAGGGGACCATGTATTTGGCAGCCCTTCATCTTTCTGAGCTCCTCAAACATTTTCTCTCTTTGCTGTGGAGTGCCATCCTCCACAACCCCCCTCTCTGCACAAATGTATGGCATGTAAGCCAAAAAAGGATTGGCATGACAACTCCTGTTCTCACAGAACTCCTCCAAGGCCTTCCTCTTTCTATTGAACCAGGTCTTTGAGCCACCTGGCCCATAGTTTACATTGTGTATGACCCCAAAGGCCAAAAAGTTCCTGAATAGGCCTGCAGACTTCAAGCTCGCTTCCAGGCTCGCTTTCAGGTCATTCCAGCACCTGTGGGTCTCATCATAGCCAACCACCAGGGCCAAGGGGAGCATGTACTGGCAATAGTCTAATGCACCTCTGTTGATTCCACCTTGGTCACTGTAGCTGGCCAGAACTGGTTGGGTCTTGCAATTCCAACTGTTTGGAAGCTGCTGGTAGGATTCCTGAGTTTTGGAATTGTTGATCCAGAAGCTGTCACCTCTCCAGACAAGGCTTGCCAGTGCACCTCCTTGGGGATTTCAAAAGATGCAATACTTTTGCCAATTGCCTGAAGGGCATGAGAGACAGCTCTGAGTTCACAATAGCCATGAACTCTGGTGACCTGCTTTCTTTGGGCCAAAGCGCTGATTTCCAGTTCCACTTCTACACTCTTCACTGGCAACAAATATTCAATGGGCAGCCAAGCTGCACAGTTGCACTGGTTTGACCACACTGCCACCACCATCACATCATCACCACTGTAGTTGCTGGGGTCCCAGCTGATCTGCATATGGTTGCATTCTTCAAATGTACTTCCCAAGGTCCCCATATATTGTGAGCACTCAATGAGAGTTTCCCTGCTCACCAAGCCAGCACCTTCTGGCACTATGTCCCCATGGCTTTGCATAATCTTTTTCCTGTGTGACTTTGCTTTACCAACCCTTCTCAGGAGAACAAGCTTGTTTACCCATGGAATGGTTTTGCTGTGCCCTGCCCTGGTCCTTAGCAACGGTGCTGCTTCAGGCTTCCTCTCTGTCAAGGTCAATGCAAACTGCTCCAAGGCCTGCCCCAAAAGGAATAAAAGCTTTGGCCAAAGGAAATGGCCAACATGTAGCCACCCATTGGATTTGGGGCTTGCCTTCAGGCTGGCACACCAAAGCAACACATCAAACACTGGAGCGTGTCCCAGGCTGGTTGTGATCTTGTGCTTGCACCAGCCAGTCCTCTTGAGGTTCTCCCACTTTCCTGCTGCTTGGTTACATTTGCTCACCCAGCCTTCTAAGTCACATGTTACGCCATCCTGAAATTCAACATGCAAAATGTACATCTCACCATTCATGAGGGGCCCTGGCACTGTAATGTCTATGCTGTGTGTGCCCTTTTGAATGCGCCTGCCCACCAAACTTTGTAGCAATGACCAAGCCATCTCTTTTGCTTGCACCCTGGTTTGCCTTCTCAAAGGGAGCAAGCAAAGCATAAGTATCAATGCCCTGCTTTCCATGGTATGTTTGCCAACACTACCAGGCCCTGCATCTTTACCTCTGTAGTGGAACTCTGAAAAGCTGAGCTGTGCCTCAAGAAACTCAGTCCTGAACTCCTCTAACCCTCTCTTCAGCAGGAGCCCATCTTTTTGGGTTTCAAGTTTCAAAGCATCACAGACCCTGGACCATTCCCACTCTATGTGTCCATGGCTGTTTAGCTGACCTGTGAGGACAACTTCCTCATTGATTCTGCAAAGGAAAGGCTTCACTGGCACACTATCATCCTCTTGACATTCATCCATGGCTCAACAACCATGGAGAGTAAAAGCACAAACAAACAGGTGCACTTGCCATGAAGAGTAAAAGCACAAACAAATAGGTGCACTTGCCTTTTGCTAGCAGTAGCCAACATGAAGAAAAGGCTTGGTACC